CCTCCCTGAGCCAGGCGGCCGACCTGGAAGAGATGTCCCCGAGTCCACCCTCCCTGCACAACCAGGTGGGCTCCTTGGCCCAGATGGACGCTGCCGCCGTCGATTACAACGGCGGCATGATCAACGCAGGCTTGTTGTATGGCCGGACATGGTAATAGGCCCCAGGCGGATTGAATCTCCCGGAGGCTTTCTCTCACCCTCAATTCTCGCCCTTGAAAGGAGAGGCCCGGTCCCGGGACTGCCGTCTGGATCAGAAGCGCCCTTGTCCTGTGGGTCTAGTCCTCCCTGGGCTGAACATCTCCTCCAGCAGCAAGCGGGATGCTGCTGGCTGAACTGGACAGTGTGGCGCTAAGGAAATATGCCTCTTTACGGCACTGCTTAAACCTTCCTCGGTTTCCCTCCCGGCCACAAGCCCAGGTAGACAGTCCTACAGCAGGCAATGGGCGGCGGGGGTGGGGGAGGGTTGGGTGAAATAACGGTCTGTAAAAACGGAGCTCGGTTTTTTAAGATCATTCACAGGCTCTTTTCCAAGGCAGAGTCGCCATCCGCTCCGGCGGAAAGGAAACACAAACGGAGCTGGAGCGAATCCTGTTTCCAAGTCAGGAAGGGAGGCAAGAGAGAATCTCCTTCGTAGATTAGTCTCAGAACTGGGTTGGAACTGTGCTGTGTACATATCTAAGAAAGCCAACCGAATCAGGCCAACAAGAGAGTCTTCTGAAGTGCAACGTACTGGTGGCGGCGGTGGGACTGAAAACACTACTAAGTATTTTATAAGGGAGCCCCTAAAGTGCAATCTCATTACTACTGACTGGATTGTAACTGAAGATCAATGGCAACTTTATCCACCATTTTCACAGGGAAGAAGAAGCAAGACTCACATGCGAGAGGGTGGGGTGGGAGTGGGACAGTTGAATTAATTATTGTTATTATTATGACCAATAAGGATATTTTTAAAAACTTTTTGAACTTAGACATTAAGACTCGAAAGATAACAAAGGTGTTTTTTTTTTTGGTCATTATTAAGTATTATTTAGTTTACATTTGGATATGTTTACCAGGAAAATCCCAAACACACCAAGCACTATAAAAGAACAAATACCCAAACAAAATCGACAACAATAGTCTGTCCTGTTGAAAGAAAAGGCACTACGGAATATCAAAGAGAAATGATCTTCATTGAATGTAACACTACCTATCTGCGGGATTAGATTCTAAAAAGAAGATAAAAGTACAAAGCAGCAGGAAGTTCTCTGGATACCTCAATGACATGACAGGCAATGAAGAAAAGCACAGATAAACTTTCCTGGAGACCATGCTGCTAATTTCATTTATCCACGATAGTAAACATGGGTGCATTTCCGACTGGGCTTTTAAAGAACCCAAAGAAGTGGTAAAACTTGACAGGCTGATAGAAACTGTGGAGTTGTTCTGTCCATGTAACACTTAAAATGTAATTGAATGCAGAAAAATTAACTGGTAGATAAATAAATAAATATAAAATGACCGAATAATCACAAAAAAACAGGCAAACAAAAGGGACAGAAAGGGATTTAATTATAGGTTCCTCCCCTCCAGTTTGCATTCCAAGAAAATTTTCTACAAATATGAAGGAGCCACTAAACCACAGAGTGCTGAGTTGTTTAAAATCTCTTCGAACTCAGAGAGATTTAAACAGTTTCTACTGCATGCAAGACTATTGCCTAAGCTAAGTATTTTTAACACCTGTCACCAGACAAAATACTTCTTTACAATGTTGTAATTTTTTCCAATAGGATTGTGTTTCTTTATTTATTGATTGATTCTTGCTTTTCAAATAACTAGATTATTCTTTCCTGATATGCCATGTCTAGTACTGGTCTTAATTATCATCCAATTTATTAACACTAATTATTTTTATAGTATTGTCAAAAACAGAAAAATGATTATTTTCCACTAAGTTACAGTATATGTGTTTCCATTTATGGGGTGGGGAGGGGGAAGGGATAGATTAATAAATTCCTTGATCACTTTAAGAAGCTCAAATGGAAAACAAGCTGAAAAAAAGTGAAGCTCTGGCTCAAAACTGACCCCTGGCCACTTCAGTAATTTAATTCTGTTTAATTTGCGTAAATAAGGAGAATACCAGGTATGAGATGACAGTGATAAAGTAAGAACAGACGCCAGAAACTGGCCTTAATTTAGGTGATAGCTGTAGAAATGTTCATAGTGTAATTTTCAAAATAAAAATATAAACAGCTCTATAAAATGATTGGCGGGAAGTAGTCAGACTTTAAAATTCAAATACACAAGTTTAATTTATATAAATTATTTTATTAATTTTGAACTGGGCACAATGCATCTGTGCAAGCCTGGCTAAAGTGATCAGAAGTCAGGTAATATCAATGACTCCTACATTCACATCAATGCAGTTTTGTCAGGAGGAATTCCAGGTGGATTCTACCCCTTTCAGACTTTAAGATCCTACTTTCCAAGTTTAATGGGGAGACCAGAACAAGTCTTAACATTTCTCACTGATACTGAGATTTCTTTCCTGTAAGAATGTTATGTGTTGGTTATCAGGGCATAATCCTAATGCTTATATTTAGCTCCCCCATATTTCATATGTATAAACGCTGGAAAATTTCCTCTTGGAATGCGCCTTTACAGCGAAACCCTGTGCATGCATAAACAAAAGTAAGTCCCGTTGGTTTTTCAAAGGCACTTACTTCCCGGTAAGTGCATATGGGATTTATGCCTTTCAGGTAAAGAATTCCAAGTGATTGTGTTCTTGGAATTCTACACACACACACACACACACACACACACACACACACACACACACAAACGACACCACATATTCACAATCAAGAAAAATGTAGGGGTTTTAACTCTGTGGATGTGGGACACTGCTCTTTACTTTCTGTTGAAGATGGAAAGCCAGCCTTATATAAATAAACTATAAGTCTCTTAGTGGGTACCATGGAGTCGCTGGAAGCATGTTACATACATATCAGTGAAGCTTTGAACTTAAAAAAAAGTGCGGCAAAAGTGAAATGGGTTTAAAGTGTATTGTATCTGAATAAACAACACCTGCTTAAGTTTAACTCTGAACCAGATATTTAAAACATCTGGCTTTGCTTGGTTTGTGCTCATTTCCAGGAAAGACTACAAATCTGTGCGTCCATGAAAGAGGCGCGGCTCCAGTGGAGCCAGTTCTTTGGACTTAGTTCTGAGTAAGCCTAGGTGCCTAATTTGTTTTAGCGCAACCGGGGTTGTCTAAGCGGAACGAACCCGGTCGCGTTAGAACGACCCATGCTTAGCGGGACTAAGCCAGACGCGCTTGGCCAGTTTGCGTTTAGGATCCGGATTTTAAAACAAACAAACAAAATCACTCCTATGAATGAAGGATTTGTGTGCCCTGAAGTCGCGTCGGACTGATGGTTACCCTATTAGGGCTTTGGAGATGCAGCCAAGTAGGGGCTTGAACCCAGTTCTCCCGAGTTCTACTCTTCCCCTTTATCCGCGGCGTCACATTGTCTGCCTAGGATTAACTCAGTGGATCCTGCTTGGAAGTTGGGACGCCAGTTCGAAAAGGCACGGAGGAGAGGGATTGAGGCCGGAGACGCAAGGATATCTCCTAAAACACCCCGAGGGATGATACCGACTCCTTTTCGTTCCCCATTCCAGGGCTAGGCCATGAACGGTGCCCCAAACAAACGACATCCCTCCGACGTTTGGGGTTCGGCTGTAGGGAGGAGTCCCACTGCACCCGCGGCGGCCGGCTTCCGACTAAACCCACGGAAGATCGGGCTCTAAGGACTTTTGAGCTGCAGTGCTAGGACCACTTATGGAGAGGAAGCCCGGCTGGAGACAGGCGCTAGCAAACACCAAATGGACTGCATTGCCATTTTGAAATCCTGTACCCATTTATTTGGGAGTTAGTCTTGTTATATACAGTGGGATTTATTTCTGGGTAGACATGTATATGATTGTGCTGAGATCCAAACGTTTTAATTCAGCTATGGAAAAAAATCGGGTTGTATGAAACAACGCAGTCTCCACTCCCTTCTTCCTCCCCTTGTTCTTGTATTTGCTATCTGAAATAAATAAAAGCTTGAGTAAGATGTATTTTAGCCATTTGCTCCAGAAGGCCCTTTTATTTTTCATGAGTTACAACGCCTTTAGGAGGAACAGCTAAATTGTTAGGCATCAGCAAGGCGATCTGCATTTTTACTTCCAAGATTACTTAAGGGTTTCCTTCCTTTTCCTCTTCTGCCTCCTGCGGCCTTGAAGTCAGTAATATCCAGTTGTTTTACAGAAAGAGGGTGGTAAACGGTGGAAACACCAGGCATAGCCCTTTTTGAACGGGCAGATTTTGTCACATCCCAACCGGCAGGGACGCCTACAAGGAAAAGTTAAAACTCGGTTCTGCTGTGAGACAGAAAAATTACAAAGTTATTGGCAAAGCAATTTATTTTTTAAAATTTTCACTTACGGAGCAGCCAAGGTGCAATCTTCTATGCGCGTATAAAAGAGTAAGATCTATTGGACATAACGGTAATTCGAGTTAACACGCACAGGACTCGGAGTGGGCCACAAGTAACTTGGAAACTAACGCGGAGGAAAGAGGCTCCACTGAAAAGCGATGAGTTTGAGAAAAGGGGAACGGCCGGTCCCCCTTGTTTGAGCAAGGACTGACCTTTGGGAAGGCCGGCCAATACGGAGTTTGCCGCAGCGCCACCACGTCCCCTAATCTGGAGTTGTGGACAGGGCCAAATGTTCCGGTGAGCAATGTTGTTCGTTCAGCAGAAAGCAGCCTGCCTCGCGGGCAAGAAAAGTATGATTTGCTGTAACAAGAAATTGCCAGGAGCCGATCCAGCGTAAACGGCTCTGGACCCTCTTGGCTGGAGCTGGGCTAAATCCAAAACAATCAGAACAAGTGAAAAGGTTTTACTAGCCCAATAACGGAAGCAAGTTTCGGAATTGCGAACAGATTCAATCTGTGTTATGGTCTTTGCTGTTCAGAGCAATTTAGTTTTGAGAAAGTTTCAGCCTGAAGAAGGTGCTCTTCAGAAGTGCACGGGTCTTTACTGAGAGCTCACGAGTGTTGCCAGCCCTGTCCATCCAGGTGAGTCCTAGTGAAGTTCCTTTTCCTCAAACCGGTAGGAGCTTCGCA